CAGTGGAAGGCTATCTGTGTCAGGTGTGTAGTGGAAGGCTATCTGTGTCAGGTGTGTAGTGGAAGGCTATCTGTGTGTCCAGTGGAAGGCTATCTGTGTCAGGTGTCCAGTGGAAGGCTATCTGTGTCAGGTGTGTAGTGGAAGGCTATCTGTGTGTCCAGTGGAAGGCTATCTGTGTCAGGTGTCCAGTGGAAGGCTATCTGTGTCAGGTGTGTAGTGGAAGGCTATCTGTGTCAGGTGTGTAGTGGAAGGCTATCTGTGTGTCCAGTGGAAGGCTATCTGTGTCAGGTGTCCAGTGGAAGGCTATCTGTGTCAGGTGTGTAGTGGAAGGCTATCTGTGTGTCCAGTGGAAGGCTATCTGTGTCAGGTGTCCAGTGGAAGGCTATCTGTGTCAGGTGTCCAGTGGAAGGCTATCTGTGTCAGGTGTCCAGTGGAAGGCTATCTGTGTCAGGTGTCCAGTGGAAGGCTATCTGTGTCAGGTGTGTAGTGGAAGGCTATCTGTGTCAGGTGTGTAGTGGAAGGCTATCTGTGTGTCCAGTGGAAGGCTATCTGTGTCAGGTGTCCAGTGGAAGGCTATCTGTGTCAGGTGTCCAGTGGAAGGCTATCTGTGTCAGGTGTCCAGTGGAAGGCTATCTGTCCGAGGTGTCCAGTGGAAGGCTATCTGTGTCAGGTGTCCAGTGGAAGGCTATCTGTGTCAGGTGTCCAGTGGAAGGCTATCTGTGTCAGGTGTCCAGTGGAAGGCTATCTGTGTCAGGTGTCCAGTGGAAGGCTATCTGTGTCAGGTGTCCAGTGGAAGGCTATCTGTGTGAGGTGTCCAGTGGAAGGCTATCTGTCCGAGGTGTCCAGTGGAAGGCTATCTGTGTCAGGTGTCCAGTGGAAGGCTATCTGTGTGAGGTGTCCAGTGGAAGGCTATCTGTGTCAGGTGTCCAGTGGAAGGCTATCTGTGTCAGGTGTCCAGTTGAAGGCTATCTGTGTGAGGTGTCCAGTGGAAGGCTATCTGTGTCAGGTGTCCAGTGGAAGGCTATCTGTGTCAGGTGTCCAGTGGAAGGCTATCTGTATCAGGTGTCCAGTTGAAGGCTATCTGTGTGAGGTGTCCAGTGGAAGGCTATCTGTGTCAGGTGTGTAGTGGAAGGCTATCTGTGTGTCCAGTTGAAGGCTATCTGTGTCAGGTGTCCAGTGGAAGGCTATCTGTGTCAGGTGTGTAGTGGAAGGCTATCTGTGTGTCCAGTGGAAGGCTATCTGTGTCAGGTGTGTAGTGGAAGGCTATCTGTGTCAGGTGTCCAGTGGAAGGCTATCTGTTTGAGGTGTCCAGTGGAAGGCTATCTGTGTCAGGTGTCCAGTGGAAGGCTATCTGTGTCAGGTGTCCAGTGGAAGGCTATCTGTGTGTCCAGTGGAAGGCTATCTGTTTGAGGTGTCCAGTGGAAGGCTATCTGTGTCAGGTGTCCAGTGGAAGGCTATCTGTGTCAGGTGTGTAGTGGAAGGCTATCTGTGTCAGGTGTGTAGTGGAAGGCTATCTGTGTGTCCAGTGGAAGGCTATCTGTGTCAGGTGTCCAGTGGAAGGCTATCTGTGTCAGGTGTGTAGTGGAAGGCTATCTGTGTGTCCAGTGGAAGGCTATCTGTGTCAGGTGTCCAGTGGAAGGCTATCTGTGTCAGGTGTCCAGTGGAAGGCTATCTGTGTCAGGTGTCCAGTGGAAGGCTATCTGTGTCAGGTGTCCAGTGGAAGGCTATCTGTGTCAGGTGTGTAGTGGAAGGCTATCTGTGTCAGGTGTGTAGTGGAAGGCTATCTGTGTGTCCAGTGGAAGGCTATCTGTGTCAGGTGTCCAGTGGAAGGCTATCTGTGTCAGGTGTCCAGTGGAAGGCTATCTGTGTCAGGTGTCCAGTGGAAGGCTATCTGTGTCAGGTGTGTAGTGGAAGGCTATCTGTGTGTCCAGTGGAAGGCTATCTGTGTCAGGTGTCCAGTGGAAGGCTATCTGTTTGAGGTGTCCAGTGGAAGGCTATCTGTGTCAGGTGTCCAGTGGAAGGCTATCTGTGTCAGGTGTCCAGTGGAAGGCTATCTGTGTCAGGTGTCCAGTGGAAGGCTATCTGTTTGAGGTGTCCAGTGGAAGGCTATCTGTGTCAGGTGTCCAGTGGAAGGCTATCTGTGTCAGGTGTCCAGTGGAAGGCTATCTGTGTCAGGTGTGTAGTGGAAGGCTATCTGTGTGTCCAGTGGAAGGCTATCTGTGTCAGGTGTGTAGTGGAAGGCTATCTGTGTCAGGTGTCCAGTGGAAGGCTATCTGTTTGAGGTGTCCAGTGGAAGGCTATCTGTGTCAGGTGTCCAGTGGAAGGCTATCTGTGTCAGGTGTCCAGTGGAAGGCTATCTGTTTGAGGTGTCCAGTGGAAGGCTATCTGTGTCAGGTGTCCAGTGATTGGAAGGCTATCTGTGTCAGGTGTCCAGTGGAAGGCTATCTGTGTCAGGTGTCCAGTGGAAGGCTATCTGTGTGAGGTGTCCAGTGGAAGGCTATCTGTGTCAGGTGTCCAGTGGAAGGCTATCTGTGTCAGGTGTCCAGTGGAAGGCTATCTGTCCGAGGTGTCCAGTGGAAGGCTATCTGTGTCAGGTGTCCAGTGGAAGGCTATCTGTGTCAGGTGTCCAGTGGAAGGCTATCTGTTTGAGGTGTCCAGTGGAAGGCTATCTGTGTCAGGTGTCCAGTGGAGGGCTATCTGTGTCAGGTGTCCAGTGGAAGGCTATCTGTGTGAGGTGTCCAGTGGAAGGCTATCTGTCCGAGGTGTCCAGTGGAAGGCTATCTGTGTCAGGTGTCCAGTGGAAGGCTATCTGTGTCAGGTGTCCAGTGGAAGGCTATCTGTGTCAGGTGTCCAGTGGAAGGCTATCTGTGTCAGGTGTCCAGTGGAAGGCTATCTGTCCGAGGTGTCCAGTGGAAGGCTATCTGTGTCAGGTGTCCAGTGGAAGGCTATCTGTGTCAGGTGTCCAGTGGAAGGCTATCTGTGTCAGGTGTCCAGTGGAAGGCTATCTGTGTCAGGTGTCCAGTGGAAGGCTATCTGTGTCAGGTGTCCAGTGGAAGGCTATCTGTGTCAGGTGTCCAGTGGAAGGCTATCTGTGTCAGGTGTCCAGTGGAAGGCTATCTGTGTCAGGTGTCCAGTGGAAGGCTATCTGTGCCAGGTGTCCAGTGGAAGACTATCTGTAGGAGGTGGTGTCCAGTGATTAGAGCACGGGTTCCCAACCTGGGGGTCGCGACCCCCCTGGGGGTCGCGAAGGTCTTTCTGGGGGGTCGCCAACTGGTATACTGAACCTTAGTAATTTGAAACAAAACATAAATATTTAAAAGAATTTTTGAAATTCGGCTTCATTAACATCACTTGAAATGTAATAGAGAAGAAACAAAGCGCACTGTACAAAGTTGTTCTCAGTCACGAATCTATGAAATCTTCAAAACTAAAACGTCATTTGAGACGAGTCATTCGGAGCACACCAAAAAATATATGGAGTTCTTTCGTCGGTAAGAAGCTTGTTGCAAACGTCAGAGACTTGATCGAACAGGAAGTTTTCACCAGCATTAGTGCAAGCATCAAATGAAGTCGCGATAGAAAATGCCAAGCAAAAAAAAAACAATAGGAGAAAATCTCATCAAACGCTGCATGTACGTAAATGTTAAATAACACATTTTTATTGAAATTAAGCTTTCACCATTGTTTGCTTTTCAAGTTGATAAATCAACAGACGTGAGTTCGTGTTCGCAGTTGCTGGTCTGTGTATATATTCATGCGGATGATAGTAAAGAAGAGTTGCTCTTTTTGTGAAGATAGCACGGAGAAAATAAATACCTTTTTTGAAACTGGATGATTAAAATGGGTTAGAACGGCTGTGGGGGTTTGTACCGATGGTGCGCCATCTATTTTTAGCTCAAAATCGGGCTTTCAGAAAAGATTTAGCTGCCTAACCACTGCCCTAACCAATCGACATCAAGAGTCCATTGCTAGTATAAGTCGTAAATTATATAAAATCTGGAGCCTTCAAAGAACTGAGCAAAAACATTAATATAGATCACGAGGTTCTGCTCTTCTACACTTCAGTACGCTGGCTGTCAAACGAAATGTTGTAAATTGTGTTTTTGAATTGAAATCAGAAATCCAATTGTTCTTGGAAGTGCATAGGAAACAAGATTTGTTGGTATACTTAAAACGACATAGAGTGGTTGGAGAGAGTATCATACCTAGCAGATGTATTCGAACATCAAGATAAGCTTAACATGAAACTTCAGAGAAAATGAACGAATATTATAACTTTCCATGATAATCTCGGGGCATTTTTATCAAAGCTGCAAAATCAGTAAAGAAAATAAATCTTGGAAATATTGTAAATTTGAGAAACTCTGCGGTGTGGTAGATGAATCTGATTGTGAGATAATTACAATTTTGAAAGAAGCGATTTCTGGGCATCTTGAATCTCTTGAAAACGAACTGCATCGCTATTTCTCTGAGCTGATAAAAGAAGAATCTGCATTGACGCATTACCCATTCTCTTCTTCCCTTGATGTCGCCAGCATTCCCGATGAATTACAAGATGAATTTTTTGATTTGCAGAATGATTCCGAGTAAGCTGAAAAACTGCAGACACAATTTTGGTGTGGTATTCACCATTCATACCCAAACGTAAAATTGATTGACTTTTCGAGAATATATTTTCAACACTATTCTTCGATTAAATACAAAATTAAGATAATTATAATGACATAGGTTGGCGTTAACAAAATTTTTTAAAAATTAAAAACTTAACCACGAATAGTATGCAATTTTACTCATGCTATTAAAACAGTTATCAAGAGTAGTTCATATTGAAAGTCTACTAGAAAATCTTATTTTATTGCTTATTAATTTCCATACTAATTTCGGGTTTTTAATTCTATGGGGGTCGCGGGTCACTTACTTTTTATAAAAGGGGGTCGCCACTCGAAAAAGGTTGGGAACCACTGGATTAGAGGGTAGCCTCCAAACTACTTGTGTAGCCTCTAGCTTACTTGGGTAGCCTCCAATTTACTGGCTACTTGAGTAGCCTCCAGCCTCCAGCCTACTTGGGTAGCCTCCAGCCTCCAGCCTACTTGGGTAGCCTCCAGCCTCCAGCCTACTTGGGTAGCCTCCAGCCTCCAGCCTACTTGGGTAGCCTCCAGCCTCCAGCCTACTTGGGTAGCCTCCAGCCTACTTGGGTAGCCTCCAGCCTCCAGCCTACTTGGGTAGCCTCCAGCCTCCAGCCTACTTGGGTAGCCTCCAGCCTCCAGCCTACTTGGGTAGCCTCCAGCCTCCAGCCTACTTGGGTAGCCTCCAGCCTCCAGCCTACTTGGGTAGCCTCCAGCCTCCAGCCTACTTGGGTAGCCTCCAGCCTCCAGCCTACTTGGGTAGCCTCCAGCCTCCAGCCTACTTGGGTAGCCTCCAGCCTACTTGGGTAGCCTCCAGCCTCCAGCCTACTTGGGTAGCCTCCAGCCTCCAGCCTACTTGGGTAGCCTCCAGCCTCCAGCCTACTTGGGTAGCCTCCAGCCTCCAGCCTACTTGGGTAGCCTCCAGCCTACTTGGGTAGTCACCAGCCTACTTGGGTAGTCACCAGCCTACTTGGGTAGCCACCAGCCTACTTGGGTAGCCACCAGCCTACTTGGGTAGCCTCCAGCCTACTTGGGTAGCCACCAGCCTACTTGGGTAGCCACCAGCCTCCTCGCCATCTAAATGCTAATTTAAATATCCCTTTCTCCGGCTTCAATTGACCGGATTTAATCGAGCGTGTAAGGCAGCGGTCGGTTCAAGGTCAAAGTTCACCGCCACTTCTCAGGCGTGTCACGTCATCGCGTTACCCCATCTTACACGCCTCGACATAATGTCGTCATAGCCCGGTCATAATGTCGTCATAATCGAGTCCACAAAAACCTTGTCATCGTAACGTCGTCATAATGTCGTCGTAACTTCCTCCAAGTGTCGTCATAATGTCCTCATAATGATGTCAGAACGTTCTCATAATGTAATAAAATCGTGGAGAATTAAATGAAAGCCATCTATTTCTTTAGCCAATGCTTAAGCTCTCATAAACTGGGCTAAGAATCAACTATCAAAGACGTTTTTGTTTTCTTGTTTCTTTCATCTCTATAAAAGTCGAAGGCCTACAATTTTGTTTAAGATTTCTATGTATTAAATGGGATTTTTCCGTTCTACATGTGTAAAATAAACGGTACTTTTTTTTTTATTCACGTGCATTTAATGGTATCATGTTGTACATTTCTATTTACAAAATTTATTTTTTATATGCCTCTGACGTGTCTTATAAAAAGTATCCTTTTCATTGGCTAGCTCAGGGTTTTCCGAACCCTTCCAGTAAAAAGTAATGTAAAGGTCAAGGTCGTGCTTCAAACATCCAACTAAAATATTCACCACTTTAAGCATTATTCCATCTACTGTCTAGCCATTTTAAAAACTTGATATGAACCAGATTTTTTGTGTGTGCATACAATGTTTAAATATCTCATTTAGTGCCGTTTCAATAAAGCGATCACAATTCCAATCGCTTTTGTCAGAATTCCTTTGAGACGAATGTCCCTACAACAATGTGAATGTTGGTCTCCTAAAGTCTACTAGCGAAAGTTGTATTCGTTGTGCCAACACATCCCCGAGTGAAGTTTGTTTGAAAAGAAAGATGGAGTAAAGGGCAATAACTCCGTCGATAAGCTGTTCATATTACATGTGGGGCGTATCAAATTGCCCTTTCATCTTGCACAGGCTTTCATCCGCTGCTTATCGTAAAAAGGTTGGGGTATGGTTAAGCCATTCAGTGATCGGATGCTTGTTCGTTTGAATGTGTTTGATTTCACATAAAGACGTGTTGGATTGATTGTTTGGCTTACACTTTGCAGGAGATTCTTTTAACCGTGGGCCGTTTGAGTGCTGTTGTCCGGCATTGTCCGGCATTGTCCGGTTTGTTTGACTGATGTAGTCCGGCATTGTCCGGTTTGTTTGAGTGATGTTGTCCGCATTGTCCGGTCTGTTTGAGTGATGTTGTCCGGCATTGTCCGGTTTGTTTGAGTGATGTAGTCCGGCATTGTCCGGTTTGTTTGAGTGATGTTGTCCAGCATTGTCCGACATTGTCCGGCATTGTCCGGTTTGTTTGAGTGATGTTGTCCGGCATTTTCCGTTTTGTTTGAGTGATGTTGTCCAGCATTGTCCGACATTGTCCGGCATTGTCCGGTTTGTTTGAGTGATGTTGTCCGGCATTTTCCGTTTTGTTTGAGTGATGTTGTCCAGCATTGTCCGACATTGTCCGGCATTGTCCGGTTTGTTTGAGTGATGTTGTCCGGCATTGTCCGGTTTGTTTGAGTGATGTAGTCCGGCATTGTCCGGTTTGTTTGAGTGATGTTGTCCAGCATTGTCCGACATTGTCCGGCATTGTCCGGTTTGTTTGAGTGATGTAGTCCGGCATTGTCCGGTTTGTTTGAGTGATGTAGTCCGGCATTGTCCGGTTTGTTTGAGTGATGTTGTCCGGCATTTTCCGTTTTGTTTGAGTGATGTTGTCCAGCATTGTCCGACATTGTCCGGCATTGTCCGGTTTGTTTGAGTGATGTAGTCCGGCATTGTCCGGTTTGTTTGAGTGATGTTGTCCAGCATTGTCCGACATTGTCCGGCATTGTCCGGTTTGTTTGAGTGATGTTGTCCGGCATTGTCCGGCATTGTCCGGTTTGTTTGAGTGATGTAGTCCGGCATTGTCCGGTTTGTTTGAGTGATGTTGTCCAGCATTGTCCGACATTGTCCGGCATTGTCCGGTTTGTTTGAGTGATGTAGTCCGGCATTGTCCGGTTTGTTTGAGTGATGTAGTCCGGCATTGTCCGGTTTGTTTGAGTGATGTAGTCCGGCATTGTCCGGTTTGTTTGAGTGATGTTGTCCGGCATTGTACGGTTTATTTGAGTGATGTTGTCTGGCATTGTCCGGTTTGTTTGAGTGATGTTGTCCGGCATTGTCCGGCGTTGTTTGAGTGATGTTGTCCGGCATTGTCCGGCGTTGTTTGAGTGATGTTGTCCGGCATTGTCCGGTTTGTTTGAGTGATGTTGTCCGGCATTGTCCGGCGTTGTTTGAGTGATGTTGTCCGGCATTGTCCGGTTTGTTTGAGTGATGTTGTCCAGCATTGTCCGACATTGTCCGGTTTGTTTGAGTGATGTTGTCCGGCATTGTCCGGCATTGTCCGGTTTGTTTGAGTGATGTTGTCCAGCATTGTCCGGCATTGTCCGGTTTGTTTGAGTGATGTTGTCCGGCATTGTCCGGCATTGTCCGGTTTGTTTGAGTGATGTTGTCCGGCATTGTCCGGTTTGTTTGAGTGATGTTGTCCGGCATTGTCCGGTTTGTTTGAGTGATGTTGTCCGACTTTGCCCGGTCTGTTTGAGTGATGTTGTCCGACATTGTCCGGTTTGTTTGAGTGATGTTGTCCGACATTGTCCGGTTTGTTTGAGTGATGTTGTCCAGCATTGTCCGACATTGTCCGGCATTGTCCGACGTTGTTTGAGTGATGTAGTCCGGCATTGTCCGGTTTGTTTGAGTGATGTTGTCCGACATTGTCCGGTTTGTTTGAGTGATGTTGTCCGGCATTGTCCGGTTGTTTGAGTGATGTTGTCCGGCATTGTCCGGTTTGTTTGAGTGATGTTGTCCGGCATTGTCCGGTTTGTTTGAGTGATGTAGTCCGGCATTGTCCGGTTTGTTTGAGTGATGTAGTCCGGCATTGTCCGGTTTGTTTGAGTGATGTTGTCCGCATTGTCCGGTTTGTTTGCGTGATGTTGTCCGGCATTGTCCGGTTTGTTTGAGTGATGTTGTCCGGCATTGTCCGGTTTGTTTGAGTGATGTTGTCCGACATTGTCCGATTTGTTTGAGTGATGTTGTCCGGCATTGTCCGGTTTGTTTGAGTGATGTTGTCTGGCATTTTCCGTTTTGTTTGAGTGATGTTGTCCGGCATTGTCCGGTTTGTTTGAGTGATGTTGTCTGACGTTGTCCGGTTTGTTTGAGTGATGAAGTTCAGCATTGTCCGGTTTGTTTGAGTGATGTTGTCCGGAATTGTCCGGTTTGTTTGAGTGATGTAGTCCGGCTTTGCCCGGTCTGTTTGAGTGATGTTGTCCGACATTGTCCGGTTTGTTTGAGTGATGTTGTCTGGCATTGTCCGTTTTGTTTGAGTGATGTAGTCCGGCTTTGCCCGGTCTGTTTGAGTGATGTTGTCCGACATTGTCCGGTTTGTTTGAGTGATGTTGTCCGACATTGTCCGGTCTGTTTGAGTGATGTTGTCCGACATTGTCCGATTTGTTTGAGTGATGTTGTCCGGCATTGTCCGGTTTGTTTGAGTGATGTTGTCCGACATTGTCCGGTCTGTTTGAGTGATGTTGTCCGACATTGTCCGATTTGTTTGAGTGATGTTGTCCGGCATTGTCCGGTTTGTTTGAGTGATGTTGTCTGGCATTTTCCGTTTTGTTTGAGTGATGTTGTCCGGCATTGTCCGGTTGTTTGAGTGATGTTGTCCGGCATTTTCCGGCATTGTCCGGTTTGTTTGAGTGATGTTGTCCGGCATTGTCCGGTTGTTTGAGTGATGTTGTCCGGCATTGTCCGGCATTGTCCGGTTTGTTTGAGTGATGTTGTCTGGCATTTTCCGTTTTGTTTGAGTGATGTTGTCCGGCATTGTCCGGTTTGTTTGAGTGATGTTGTCCAGCATTGTCCGGCATTGTCCGGTTTGTTTGAGTGATGTTGTCCGGCATTGTCCGGCATTGTCCGGTTTGTTTGAGTGATGTTGTCCAGCATTGTCCGACATTGTCCGGCATTGCCCGACGTTGTTTGAGTGATGTAGTCCGGCATTGTCCGGTTTGTTTGAGTGATGTTGTCCGACATTGTCCGGTTTGTTTGAGTGATGTTGTCCGGCATTGTCCGGTTGTTTGAGTGATGTTGTCCGGCATTGTCCGGTTTGTTTGAGTGATGTTGTCTGGCATTTTCCGGTTTGTTTGAGTGATGTAGTCCGGCATTGTCCGGTTTGTTTGAGTGATGTAGTCCGGCATTGTCCGGTTTGTTTGAGTGATGTAGTCCGGCATTGTCCGGTTTGTTTGAGTGATGTTGTCCGCATTGTCCGGTTTGTTTGCGTGATGTTGTCCGGCATTGTCCGGTTTGTTTGAGTGATGTTGTCCGGCATTGTCCGGTTTGTTTGCGTGATGTTGTCCGGCATTGTCCGGTTTGTTTGAGTGCTGTTGTCCAGCATTGTCCGACATTGTCCGGCATTGTCCGGTTTGTTTGAGTGATGTTGTCCAGCATTGTCCGGCATTGTCCGGTTTGTTTGAGTGATGTAGTCCAGCATTGTCCGGTTTGTTTGAGTGATGTTGTCCGGCATTGTCCGGTTTGTTTGAGTGATGTTGTCCGACATTGTCCGATTTGTTTGAGTGATGTTGTCCGGCATTGTCCGGTTTGTTTGAGTGATGTTGTCTGGCATTTTCCGTTTTGTTTGAGTGATGTAGTCCGGCTTTGCCCGGTCTGTTTGAGTGATGTTGTCCGACATTGTCCGGTTTGTTTGAGTGATGTTGTCCGACATTGTCCGGTCTGTTTGAGTGATGTTGTCTGGCATTTTCCGTTTTGTTTGAGTGATGTAGTCCGGCTTTGCCCGGTCTGTTTGAGTGATGTTGTCCGGTATTGTCCGGTTTGTTTGAGTGATGTTGTCCGACATTGT